TCTGTGACTATTAGAAATTACTAAATATTGGGGCACCTGGGTGGCTCAGTTGGTTAAGCGACTGCCTTCGGCTCAGGTCATGATCCTGGAGTCCCAGGATCGAGTCCCGCATCGGGCTCCCTGCTCGGCAGGGAGTCTGCTTCTCCCTCTGATCCTCCTCCCTCTCATGCTCTCTGTCTCCCATTCTCTCTCTCAGATAAATAAATAAAACCTTAAAAAAAAAGATGAAAAAAAAAGAAATTACTAAATATTATTAACATGGAAATAAAGATATTAATGAAGATAGGTTAAAAGTTATTAAAATCACTTAAAGTCTAAGTATGAATAGTATGCTTCATTACATAGGTTAGCTTCTTTAAGTACTTAACTATTTATCTGTTTTTTAATAATTTATATTTGTAATTGTCTATTATTTAAGTATATCTCATTATTATGAAATTTCAAAATCCTTTCAAAGGCATTACATTTGCTTATCAGTGTATTTCCTGTTTATAGTGAATTTTGCTTTGGCTATATCCTTCTTTCTAACTATTACTTAGGTACTTAAAGTTAAGGTGAACTAATATGGACACAGATGATGTAGATTCTCATGTGTTAACTGGGTCCTTTTAAAAAACACAAGAAATTTAAAAATAAAAGAATTACTTCTTTGTAGCATGCAACAATTTACAAAGTTCTTATATACCTATTTCACACGATTATTACACCATTTCTGTATGATATGCATTATGATAAAACACTCAGCATTTCACCACTTTTTTCTATGAAAGGGTAAAACTCAGCTATAAGAGAAAACTTTCCTTCCTAAAATCTCAGAAAAAGTAGGGTATAACACCAAAGATCTTTAATCTGATCTTTTATAGACAAAAAGTGATTCAAAATCACTGTATTAAATGTTTAATGAATTAGACTTCAGTATGTGTTAAGCATCTAGAATATGTTTAGCATTGTACCAACCTGAAGGAATAAAAAGTTAAAGTCCAATTCTTTCCCTCAAGGTTCTTATGATCTAGTCAGGGATCATAAACAACAAAAATAAAGAAAAAATAAATTATTGGAAACTCAGAATATTGGCTGAAAGGTATGATGTGATATAAAAAGAAAGGGATTTTGGCCAAGGTTTCCTGGGTTAGTAGAGTATCTTTTTTAACCAAATTCTGAGGTCAGAAGAAATGTGATTAACAAGTTTTGCCCATGGTCAATCATTATTATTGCTATTACTACTTATTTCACAAATGTGGATATTTCTTTTTTCTTTCAAGGAATATGTTACTCACTGTTGAAAAACTTACTATTTTATTGGGGTAATCTGTATAGCTCCAGGTATTTATAGAAAGAATAATAATTTTTCAAAATAGTGCTATGATTACTCTTATTCATTAAATAAATCATTTATTAATTGACAAGAGTGCTTCCCAAAGAACATATATCAGCACACCATTATATTTTCCAGACAGAACAGTAAAGTTGAGAGTCACATTTGTTTTTCTCAAAATAATGAACCTGTAACTAACAACTTGAAGACATACTAATATTTATTAAATCAGCACCAATTGGAATGTTTTCCTCTTGAAACTGAAAATTTGATATTCCAAATACTTAATAAAAATGGGGATGGCTTAATCCACTAACTCTGTACGAGCAGTATACAAACACTGGTGGACAGAGATACTTGCCAATTCCACAAGACATCATCAGAAACATCTTCAGGTCTGTGGTAAACATTTCTTCGGTTAACAAATGCCCATGTAGAATGAGAACACAGTATGAAGAATAAAAAGGAGGTACCCTGAAACTTCCTGCCTCAGTTTAACTCCAGCCCCAAACAATGTATTTCCTACTTTTGGAAAAGAAACGATGTGAGAGTTATTCAGCTTCATGACTCAAGTTCAAACCTATAGTTGATCTGTTAGCCTGTCTTTGGAAACAGTACATGTGCTTACTCTGCCTTGTAATTGTTTATATTCCTGACCTTCCTTGCCACCAAAAATAATTCCCACCCCCATGCTTACTAGCCCTACACACACGCACAGAGATTAAAAATTCAATTTATCTTTGTGCATTTTTCCATGCAAAAATATATAAAGCAAATTCATTAACTAAGATGTACCTATAAAGGCAATTCTGCAAGAAGGCAAAATAAAATCCACATAATTATTTCTCTACCTTTTACCCTTAGTTTCTGCTATTGATTATGGTTTCCTGATAATTCCAAAACATTTTGCACTGCCAGATACTTTTCCTTGACCTCCCTCTCTCAGAGAGTCATTGGGAAGGTAAAAGGAGTCACATTGTTAGTTCTCCTAAATGGGTGGACAACAGATTTTACAAAGGTGAACCATTGGTGCCAAAACATGAAATGAGTTTTTAGGTCATGAAGGCAATAAGTAGACTAAGGAAAACGTCATTAACCTCAGGAAATTTTCTCAATATAGCCATGGGATTACTATTTGACAAAATATGTTTCTTTTGTTTTCATTTTTCCTTTACAAATATGATTAAAGCCACTAAAATTCCTATAAGGTACAATAAGACCTGTGTAAATATAGATTATTGATATCACGTGTATATGATTCTCGGCCTACAGACTTGATGTGGCTTGTACCAATCCTCAATCATGGATTCCCTTTAAATTCTTGGATGTTCTTCCATGGTAAATTATCATATACAGATGCAGTATCAAACTGACCTTAGAAAGGTCCTCTCTTTAAGTGGGGTCACGGAAAGCTTCCTGAAGGCCCTGAAGGGTGAGCCACCTTAAGGTAAAACAGTTCCAGTCTCAGCTCTGCCCCTTACTAGTTTATATTTGGACATATGAATTAACACCTTTACTTAACATCTCACTATTATCATTTCTAAAATGAGAATAACTGCTTTGTCTACTCCCCTAATCATCAATTCCATTTTTAAGGATGATCATTTGTTGTTAGTACTGCAAAAACCAAAATGGGACACCACCCATTTCTCTCTGTGTCTTTGCTTTTTTCCATCTAAAAAATAAGGAGAATAATGACACTTTGTGTAGAACTGTTGGGAATCTTAATCGTGATAACGTATAAAGCGCCTAGGATGCAGTAGAGTGTTTGATAAATGTCCCTTCCCTTCTCCACCAATTTTCCATTTCATAAATGGGCAAATTCCACTTGAAATGTTGGCAGTCCAAAGCAGTACCGTTTTATTGTCTCTCAGCTACCTCTTGACCCTATTCTTATCTCTTCCCACATCACCTTCCGGTATTTCCTGGCCTTTCTCTTCCAAGGGCCAAGGTCTTTACCCATCTCCCGGACCTGGACCGTCACTTTGTAGCTTGCCAGCGATGCCTCCTCTGGCCAGTTCTAGCTGCTGGGAGGAGTCTCCACGATTCCAAGGCTGAACAGAATTAAAGCAACTCCTGCCTGGGACTGCTCGCTTCCAACCCCAACCCTTCCTGCTCATCTCTTCGATGTCTGGCCTCGGAACTGCGGGAGAAGCGAAGGCATCACCGGAGTGATGACATGCGGCTCTCTCCCTTCCCACCGTTCACATTTTTGCTTCCACGTGCGGAACCCATAAGGCTCTGGCCGCTCTCGCCCCGGCGGTTGCCCTGGTTATACAACAGCAGCACCAGACCCAGGAGGGGGTCTCATCCCTTCTCTACTTCCCCATAACCCTTTCCTCTCCTCCCCGCTCCGGCCTCCCCCACAAACCCAGTCAGGAAGAGAAGCCTTTGCGGCTGAACTTGAGACTTTAAGCCCCCTTCTCGCTAGTGCAAACAGCACTGGCAAACTAAGGAAGGGTGGGAGGGGCTTTGGTGGAGAAGAGCCCTCGCTTCACTCCCGACTGAAGCGCGCAAAGTTCGCCGACTTGACTCGATCTCCGTCACCAGGAGTTTGGGACCTCAGTGGCCCCGGCTGCTGGGCGCGCGGCTCGCGTCCAGTCCCTCGGATTCCAGCTCGCCGGCGACAGCGTAGCGTCCCCTCCTCCTGTCAAGTCCCTTCAGCGCTGGGACGGAAGCAGAGCGACTCAGCCCACGAGGCTGAACACAAGTCCCCAGGGAAGGAGAATCTGCCAGTGCCGAAAACAGCGCTTGCACTGCCAGGGCAGCCCGTTAACGCTTCGACTCCGGGCGGGCCGGGAAGGGGGCGGGAGGGGACACCCGGGGCCGGGGGTCGGGGAGGGGTAGATCCACTGCGTTCAATTCCCAGCAGGAGTCAAATCCGGGCCTTTCCCGCGCGAGCCAAGCCGAGGCTACCAAGGGATGCCCCGCTCCAGCAGGAGTGCGTTTTGCAATAACCACATTTCCCAGACAGCCGGCTTCGTGCCCGGTGTCTGACTCCAACCTCACCCTCAGGTCTAGAAGGACGCACGGTTCCATTAGAGGAGCGTCGCGATTCCTTCGCGAGGAAAAAGGCGTCGCCCGTCCCTCCCCCAAAGCACCGCAACAGAAACAACCGCTACGGTCTCCTCGTCCCCTCCCCCAGCCCGCGGGAAAAGGAGGGAGCGAAGGGCGCAGGTACCCTTGGTCAAGTCCTCCCCAGAAGGTCCCCACCACCGCGTCTCCCAATGAACCTGCAGCCGGCGGAAGCCACGGAGCACGTTCAAACGCGCTCTCCTGCCGCCTTGGCCGCGGAGGGAGCGAGGAACAGTGAAGTGCCCGGGCGCGTCTCAAGAGGAAAACTTCGCTCGGTTTTGGCGGCGGGCGGCTTGGGCTGAGGAGGCGCCCGCGGCGGCAGCGGGGGGGTGGGACTGCGCCCCCGCCGCCACGCTGTCCCCGGCGCGGCGAGCACAGGCCGTCCGCTGCTAGGCGCACTGATTCCCAGTCTGTTCCCCCGCGCGCCCACCCCACGGGCGCTCCCCTCCCGAGCGTTTTCTTCGTCCCCGGACGGTTCCTCGTCTCCCAGGGCTGCGCATCCTCACTTCGGACCCACAGCCACCCCCCAAATTCAGTCACCCCTGCTTAACTCTGCGGTCCCCAGCGCGCCCTCCCACTGGGGTAGCAGGTGACCAGACGCCAGCCTTACCTGCCGCGAACTCTTCTCCGCCTCTCTCTGCGCCAGATGTCCTTTCGGGAAGAGAGGAAGGGGATGCAGGCTGTGGGCGTGCGCGGCGGCGACCGGGGGCACCGGCGCGAGCTCCTCTGAGAGGCCGCCCTGGCGGAGCCGCGGAGCCGCCGGCGGCCCTGACGGAGCGCGGAGGCTGCGGCCGCAGAGGCCAGACGGGGAGGCAGGCAGGGGGCGCTGCTGGCTCCGGAGCGCCGAGACGGGACAGGCGGGGAGCCAGGCACCAGCTGGAGCTTTGGGGAGGCGAGTGTGGCGAGGAAAGGCACGCTCCGAGCGGGAGGGCGGCTTTTAAGTTTGTGGCGTGACCGCAGCAGCTGTCCTGGGAGAGACTCAGTCTTTCTAAAAGGGGATGCTCAGAACGCCGGGGATTACCTCTCCCCTTCCGATCTCCTCCCCCAGCCCTCGGCCCCCCTTTCCTCTGCGCACGCCAGTCCTCCCCAGCGTGCCGAGGTCTATCCTTGCCGGCGCGCAGGCTGTCAGCAGCGTGGATTAAATGTAGCTCCGGCCGCGCTGAGGCATGTTGTTCCGGGCTGGCCACCCTGTGCGCTCTGTCTGTGCGGCAGCCTCGGACGTTTGAGCCCGCCCGCGCCCGGCTGACTTTGGGACCTATGTATTCTATACCATACAGTCTGTAAGGACCCCCCGCGGAAGAAACCGGACAAATAATGTCCAAAACACCCAGCCTCAAAAAGAGTACCTGTGTTCCAGTATGTAAAACCCTGGGCCACTGGCCTTGAAAGCGCAGGCGTTAGGATGAGCCATGGAAAACAAACCTCCATTAAGGGGCTAGCACGAGGAAGGACCAAGTAGAGGGGGAGGAGAAAATGGGGGGGGGGGAAGGGCAGAAACCCCCCCAGGATGTAAATCTTCTTTCCTCTTTACCTTATACCAGGCCAACAGGGATATGTCATATATTTCTGTCAGGAGTTTTCCTTTATAGATTTGTACACACCTTGGTCGTGCAATAGGAAACTGAAGTTATGGGGACCAGGGATGAATCCACATTTTGTGGAGCCTGGAACTTAGACAATTTGAAGGTGGGATCCTCTTTAAGAAAAACAATGCTGAAATAGCTTAATTTCTACAGATCTTACAAAAACGACTCTGTGAATTTATTGTCAGGCAGCCCTCAGGGTCATGGAAAGGGCAAGTGATGAGTCCCGAAGCTTGGGCCTCATCAGCTGCGCGGTAAATCCTTCTGTGATTGGTACTCTAGGTCTGGAGTCACACACCTTGCACTTATTAGTCCCAAACATAAAGCTGACTTGAGGGTAGAGCCAGAGGGAAAAAAAGCAGCCACAGGGTTCTGCATTTGTCAGCTTGATTTAAGAGCACAGCTTGTAAGGTCCCAGGGTTCCTTTGGCAAATGACAAGTGGTGTTTTAGTTTGGGGGTAGTGAGCAGTCAATGGCAACAAAGGGAGAACTGGAAGGTGGGAGGAGACTCTTCATTCAGTGTGTCCTCTGCTGCAGAGAGCTGAGGGCCACCAAAGCTAAATGAGTCATTTCAAGTTGCAGATGGTTAGTGGTGGAGCCAGGCTCAGGAGGGACTCAAGTTTCCTAACTCTGACCAAGGTTCTTTCCTGTGTCTCATGCTGCCCCATTTCTGTAACCTTGGTTTTGACTTTCCACTAACCAACCCCATAATTTTCCTCTTTAGATGCAGGAAAATTTAAGTCCCTACAGACTATTCTGACCTATAGCAACTTTTTTTTTTTTAATGCTTTGTATTTAATGTTATAACACTCATTTTGTAATTAACCATATCCTTGGTGTGTTTATTGCATTTTTCTATATATTTTATATTATTTTATCTGTTTATGCCATTGCCCCTCAATCCAAATTCCAACCTCATTGTAAGGACAATATACCTCTCTTTCTCCCACAGCACAACTTAGGGTTTTGCACGTAGGAGGTTCATGATAAGTAGTTTTTGACTTTTAAAAACTCTCTACTTATTAATTGTCTAATAATTTTGTTAGAATTGCAGTTAACTGGATTTTCCCTCCTGTCAAAATCCTATCTTAGTATACTCAAGCCAAAGAGCATCTCCCTTTGCTACTATTTCCACCTTTTCCATGAAGCCCCTACAGAATTAATCATTCCTTCCTGTTTTCCCAAAGCACTTTGATTTCACTTATGTTATAAGCCCTTTTCATGTAATGTCATAATTAGTTAGGCGTGTGTCCTCATCTGCTGTTGGCTGTTTTTTTTTTTTTTTGTCTTTCTTTCCCAAGCCCCTAAAACAATGTCTATGAATTTGTATTGAACTGGTTTAGTTTGAAATATCCTGACTTAACATTTAGGCTGCATTTACTAGGGCATCCTGAATGTACCATGGGAAGATAACATCTGGAAACTGGGTTCTGTGCTTTCCTTCCGTTTAATTGCTCTGAGCACACAGCAGGCAGAATCAACTGCACAGCGCAAAATTGTGATAAATGGCCTCAGCTGTGTCCATGGCTTTGTAATCCTTAGGGTACTTCTCTAAGTGTCTTGCATACGGTAGGTGTTTAACAAATATTTAGGGGTTAAATTAGGTACTGAATACAGTGGATAGGAGGATGATAATCAGCCACTGCATTTATTTCTGAATTTCTACTAAGATACAGGATTCCATCAGTATTTCTAAGAGTTTGAGATTCACTGTCATCAAAAGCAGTTTGGTAATCTGTCCTGTAGGACTGATACCCTATCTAAATCCTTGCAATAATACCGAGTGGGGAAAATCTTTTTTTACATTAAGTTTTGTTAAAATGTGAGGTGTATTATACAGTTTAGCATATCTCCAAGGGTGGCTATTCAAGATTCAACAAGTGGTCCTTAATTACACTGAAAGAGATGTGTATATCATCAGTTAGAACTACCTAATTGCTGTTTTATGCCTGTTTCATTCTAAGGGGGAAAAAAAAAAAAACAGAAAGAAAGGAAAGGAAAAAAAGAACAAAGTACTGTCTAGTTTCCAGGTGCTTGGAAAAATATTTGGATAAGTGAATTTGTCTTGAGGGTCAACCTCTTACTCTGTGACGTAGTGCACCTCACCCATCTCCATTAGGGCTCAGATGGAATTTGAGTAAGTTGTTCTTACTGCATGGTAGTAGATCTGTGTTAGATTATATGAAATATACTATCTCTCATAGGATTACATTTTAATACTTAATGAAGCCAAGGAATAATTTCTAATTGTACAATTTCAAGAATCATCAATCTATGTTGGGAACCATAAGTGAAGGCAGCAGGGATGGCTAAAAGTAGAATAGGTATATTCTAGGCTTCTCCAACTCCACATATAGCTACCTTTGCCAAGAAGACAGGAGAAAGATAATTACTGGGTCCAGGATTTAAATGTAGCAGGATCTCAGAGGATTTGGCTGCACTTTCAGCCAGAAGGTAGTAGCTTGTTGTTCTTTTCCAACAAAAAGCTATAGTCTTAGTTCTCTCTGTTCTATTCACAAAAAAAGGAAGTAAGGAAGGATGGAAGGAAGGAAGGAAGAGAGAGAGAGAGAGAATTTGGTGAATTTAAAAGAAAAAAAGGAGATCCATAAAAGAAACTGCAAAGTTCTATGTACAGAGACAAGGAAAATGGAGATAAAACTCAAGTATTTAATGTTCACATCTATAAAACTAGTCATATGTTGGTCATATATAAAACCTTTCCACCTTACAATAAATACTACTTTATGAACGTTTTCCCACTTACTAACATATCAGTACTGACAGATAAACGTTGTTATACTCATTAGAGAAAACTGGAGTATATATTAGTTTGTGTCTAATTGGAACAAGTGATGGCATGAGTTGAAAGCAGCTCACCCGCCTCCTAATCTTCTATCAGGTGTTTTCCCCTTATAAACCTCAGATATTTTTTTTTCCATTTGTTTCATTTGATCATGGCAATCCACTTATCACTGGATCATTAGGTAGTTACATATTAAGATCATTAGGTCATGCTTAGTGATGGAAAAGAACACACCTTTCATCTTTATTTCAGTATTAATTATACATAGAACTCTCAGAAGTAAATGTATCTCTGTTTCTCATCTTTAAGTAATGGCAGAAGATAGTTTACGGTGAGTTAATCGGAATGTAAAACTGTCAGAACTTTGCTTAATGTCTTTGAGTTTTAAACTTTTTTTACGTCATAAATGATCATAAACATTCAGAGTTAGGAGAGGCCTCAGAGACCTTCTAGCCCTCATGTTATATATGAGGGAACCAAGGCCAAGAAGATGGAATGATCACCCAGCTCCTTTTAACTCCTGCCCTATGCCCTCTATGATACAGTACCCTGCTATAGAGCCTTTACTTGAAGAAGAAGGAGAGGGAGAGGGGGAGGGAGAGGGAGAGGGAGAGGAAGAAGAAGAAGGAAGAAGAAGAAGGAAGAAGAAGAAGGAAGAAGAAAGAAGAAGAAGAAGAAGAAGGAGGAGGAGGAGGAGGAGGAGGAGGAGGAGGGAGAAGAAGAAGAAGAAGAAGAAGAAGAAGAAGAAGAAGAAGAAGAAGAAGAAGAAGAAGAAAGAAGAAGAAGAAGAAGAAGAAGAAGAAGAAGAAGAAGAAGAAGGAAGAAGAAGAAGAAGAAGAAGAAGAAGAAGAAGAAGAAGAAGAAGAAGAAGAAGAAGAAGAAGAAGAAGAAGAAGAAGAAGAAGAAGAAGAAGAAGAAGAAGAAGAAGAAGAAGAAGAAGAAGAAAGAAGAAGAAGAAGAAGAAGAAGAAGAAGAAGAAGAAGAAGAAGAAGAAGAAGAAGAAGAAGAAGAAGAAATCAGCCAGTTTTCAAAACCTATCCAAGCCAGAATCTTAAGGTTATATTTACTTAGCTGGTTTGGGGTGTGGTGAATAATTAAATTCAGCAGGAATGCACTTCAAAATAAAAATAAAAACACAACCCAACCCCTTTGGCCCAAGTCCTGTGACCTCAGAAAAGAAAACCTCCTTGACTATGAACATTTGCTAGAGGTTGGAAAGCCTTTCTGAGCCTGATACAGGAGTCCACATAGCTAGTGCAGGATGGAGGAGTTTATAGTCAAATAAATGACTCTTTGTGTTTTTTTGTTTTGGTTTGTTTTGTTTTTCTTTTTTTAATAGTGTTCTTAGATCAACACATAATCCCCAAGGAAGGATTTTAAGGAAAAATAAACACCTTTCTTATATATCATATAAAAAAAATCGTCTTTGAGTTTGCTTTTCTTAATACCTCATGCCACCAACACTCCACCCTTAGAGCGTACTTTAGAAATAGTGTATTCTTCTAAGAAAATGGGGGAGGGGAGGGATTCCTGTGATACCTAATCGAGGCAAGCCTTATTTGTGTAAGAGTGATGAAACCAAGAAAAATATGCCCTCTTGTGGCTTATTTGTTCTAGTTCACAACTAATCAACAGTACTCTATTATTTCCTGAAACTCAAACATACCTATATTCCAAGTGGAATTAAA